ATCGGGGTGAATCTCCAGATGAGTTAAAACAAAGAGTGTGAATCTCCGCATGAATCACTGCATTTTTAGTTATTCATGTCTCATAGAAATCGCTTGTCTCGTTTTTTTAGTGCAATAATAGGAAACCATGGGATCTCAGCTGAGTAATACTTAAAGTGTGAACCAAATGCTGTGATGAAACTTAAAATAATGAAAAATTAAGCCCAGTCCCTCAAAGTCAATCCTAACCTCAAGTGTTAGTTTACTTAATTAATTTAACAATACAAACGCGTCGTAATCGACCGATTTTCGTGCACCACAATAGCGAACAAACGAATAATATATATAGAAAAAAGAAATTGTTTGCAATCAATATGAGTGTTCCAAGTGCGCCCCATCAGAGGGCAGCAATCAAAAATCGAGATCCATGTCCCAGCGAAAAAAAATTTCGATATTTTTTGCCCGGAGCAACCTACGGAGGAGCCCTGCTGCTGCTGCTGATCAGTATCGGTCTGGATCTGGGATCAGTGCATTGTTATGGTGAGTACCAACGACCTATCACTTCCCCATATATTGTATGGTTATTCAAATCAATTAGGTTTATTTGCATATACATGATTCGTGTCTCTAAGGAAAGATTTGTTCAGATTGAGAATGAGAAAAAATGTAATATACATAGAACATTTCAAGTCGCAACTCACATTTGACTTTAAAGTGCTCCAATTTACTCTCTCTACTTATAAGTCATATCTAAAAGATCCCAAACTAGCGTTCATCATTTAAAAATATATTCTACTCCATCTTATTGAGTTGCCATTCTATTTAAAGCTAACAAGCAATAAGTAATGTTAACAAAATAACGACTTTTAAGGCAAATAAACCCATCATATTTGAACTCAGTAAATACTACCTGGTCAAAATTGACGTCATCCCCTAGACGCCTTGCATTGGGATCGCCAGACGTGCCAAGATCTCGTGGCTTCAAAATGACCGATTAGATCCCGCCACACACAGCTTATTATTCATAAAAAACCGTCTATATATTATATATGCACAGTTGAAAATAGTTTTATATTTTATATTGTGATGGGTATTTTAAATATTTAGAACCGTTTTTAGTGCTTAAATATTAATAATACTTTAGTGATGATTAAGTTTTGGTGTTTTAATTATTTTGTATATGTTTTTTAGAGTTGCAAGAAGGGAATCTGTGGATAATTATAAAATAAACAGTAGTTGCAGTACAGAATTGTATTTAAATTTAGCGAAATATATTTTCGCTCAGTATACATTTTCCAAGTCAGAAGAATAGACTTTGGGCGAGGGGGTAGAGGGCAGCAAAGCTATAGATTCCACGATGTCTGACGATACTGGTCACGTACCGCATGTGCAGTGGCGAGGGGCGTGGCTCGATGCTCGATCCGAGTCAAATGTCAACGCACGATCAACTGGCTTACCCCCCCCCCCCCATTCGTCGACCAATTGATTTGTTAGCTTCCTCTCATTTTTGCATTTTAATGTAATTTTTTCCCCGCGATTCACATTGTTTTGGCTTTGCCATTTTGCCTATCATCTGATTTATGATCAGAAACCCAATTTTGTATTTTTGTTTTTGCAATATTTAGCCTAATGAAATTACGGCAAACAAACGTGAAATGTATCCCATTGTGTTGGCCAAGCCCACCCCCCGTGGTGCGATTGTCTTCGTGCCCTCTTCCTGATCAAAAGATCGACGGTTTTAGCGATCCCCGATCTCCGATCCCAGCAGGTGGGTTGGGGAAGTCGAACATTTAATTCGACTCGGCTGTTCGCAGCACATAATTTGTTTCATTTTGTTTTCTTTTCATCAATTATATTAGCATTTGCAAAGGTCTATTGTTGTTTCAATTCCGATTAATTATGTCGAATTTGCTATAAGGAATTCCAAGTGAATTGGAAAGAAGTAATGTCAATAATGATATATATAAAAGACTGAAGGCATACTAACCCAGTCTGACGTGTCGCGTTTTCATTAATATAAGAAAAGCAAACCTTGATAAGGAATGACGCATTTTTCGTTATCAGATTCAAAACGTACATACATATATCGCCAAACAAAAATGTATATACAAGCCACACGACTAAATTATCAATAAACGCTTTCATTCAAGAAATTATTTTGATTACGATCGCTGCCCCACAAAGAACTTTATCTTATCATTATTTGTATAAATTTTTTCCAGGAATATTCTTTGATTATATATGTGAAAGACATATTTATTTAAGAGATTAGTAGAATAAATATTCTCATGTGCTTTATACCTATGTTCTTCTGTTTTTATTTTGTTTTCTATTTTTCTTGATATACATTATGGTTAATAAAAGCAAAACTGGGGAATACCCGTCTTATATGCACTCGTCACCAAAGTATTGGCAAACAAAACAATCAGTCTCAGTCTTTTTGCGAATTTCAAGGGGTTCGGATCATTAAAAAATGAGCGGAAGAAACGGTGAAGCTTTTGAAGAACGAGAAAAGAATGTGAACGCGGGCACAAAGAGAAAAAAATATGAAGAAGCTATGGAAAATGATTTTGTATTCAAACGAATGACGAAGGATGACTCTTCGTTTTCGGTATCAGAGGACCAATGCAGAGGAATTTCTCGGGAAAATGAAGACAGACAATCTACTGGATCTTCCGTTCCCCAGGCAGATACAACTATCTTCGCAGTGCACACCGATTGCTGGAGAGTTATATTTTCTTACCTAGGCTTGAGAGATCAATTGCAACTTGCCGTCTCAAATAGGTATTTTAAAAATGTTTTCACTACCTTACTATATAAAAGGTACAGACACATTACGGAAAGCATTACGAACAATATCGACGAAACAGATCTGCATAACTTACTTGAAATCGTTGGATGGTTTGTGATCAGCTATGAGTCATCACTTGATCCTCAGTCCAATGACGAGCAGCATTTGTGGCTATTGCGGACGTATTGTCCTAACTTGCGATACCTAAAAATGACGATTCGACGACCCAGGTGGTACGATTTGCAGCAATTGAAGAATCTGACGTCATTGCACGTCTATCTGAACTTTGCCAGTCCAGAGATCTTCAAGAACTTCGTTCTTGGCTTAATGGAATTGCCTTGCTTAAAGAAACTAAAGTTGGAGGCGAGAGATTATATAGGAAACGGTTTGCATGTTCTTGAGAATTTAGAATTTCTGGATATTGGCTCCCATTCGGGATTTGATGCAAACTGTTTAGCCGAGTGTTGCATCAAAATGAAGCAGTTGCGTCACCTTAACATTGGAAAATACATTGATGAACTCACCATGGAAAACTTTAGAGTAATTGTGAAGAACTGTCTCCACCTGGAAAGTCTGGTCCTTGGAGTAAGATTACTGGAACCTACTGTTGCCTACGAGATCGTCTGCCAGCTGCCCAAACTAAAGCACTTACAGTTGTGGCATTCGGGATCCTTAAGACCGAGTTTCATCGAGGGAATGATTAATAAAACTGGTGCTCCGCTGGAAAAACTGATTTTGGAGGGATACGCTTTGGAAACTGAACAACTAGAGCATCTTTGCGAGATTTCTTCGCTCCGAGAACTTTCTGTAGGATGCGAACAACTCCCTTTGGAAAGTCTAAAGAAGCTAAAAAACCTGGAGACTTTGGACATAAGGATGCCAAACATTTCCAACAATCATCTTTTGGCGCTTCTGACGGGATGTCCTCTTTTAAGTGTGCTTAGTGTTCAATTTTGCCGACTAATAACATCAGAATTTGTGTCAAAAGCAACTCAATTGTTTATAGACCGAAAGATCAAAATCTATTTTCACGAATCATCTGTTGATTGGCTTGAACTCCCGATTGCAAGTGACAACAAGTTCATTCAATTTGAAAGGGGTGTTTTTTGTAGTACCATCTTAATAAACCAAGATATTTGATAAATAAATAAGAGAGGTCCGCCTTTTGTATATTTTAAATTTCAAAATAATGTGTATTCTCAAAATATATCAAACATTTTTATTGATCACAAATATCTGTTGACTTATAATGGTTTCATTGTGAATAAAAGGGAAAGTGCCAAGGAAATTATTAACGATTTAGGAATTTATTTTCAGGTAGTTCCCATTGTACTAAAAATCACCATAATTATTTAGCACATTTCAAGTATTTTTTCACAGCAAGTAAACCATCAATTAAAATACGAATAAAATTCCCCGTGCATTTATATCACTAATTCTGTATTTATTATGACCATAATGATTATCATTCTGACTTCTAGGAATGTTTTTTCATACAAACATATTGGAACAATGTCCAATACGGGAATTTTTAATTAGGCAAATGGTATTTTGATTAACGAAATAGAATTGACCAAAGCAAAGCGGTGGAAAAAATCAAAACCAACTAACTGAATCATTAACATCGTGTAAGCTAGAATGCTACGTATACATTGGGCAAGTGTTTCACTAGAACTTCAATTTAGGAATGACTGCATTCTCAACGAAACGCAACTCTTAATTAAGCCGCTAGAGATAAAATAAATTCTTTGGGATTCATTAGACTTCAAGTAAAGCGGGGCGAGAACTCGCACGGGATTGTAAAATTAAATTAAGTCATGTGCGCATTTTTATATACCGTCAAATTTGGCAACCAATTAACAGCTAACAAATAGATGTCAGTATCTGTACATTCATTATTTTTTTTCGTCTTCCATAATTAGTGCTAATTTTAACAAACTTGCTGAAAGCCGAAAGCGAAAGTGTTTTTATGGTTTTTATGGCCATGTGACAAACTTCCAAACTTTTCTTGAAATTTAAACATTATTCTCAAGCGCAAAATAAATGAAAAATTATTTCATTTCATAAAATACTATTTGCTAGAATACTTTAAAAATGTAAATTATTTAAATGGATGTCAAGCCACATTTGAAGGCATGAAATATTGTTAGAACATAATGTTTTATTACTTCGCAGTAGGCGTGATAAGCGACTGACATAATTGTTAAGTAAATAAGCTAAAAAAAAACTAATGCGGAGAAAGCTAATTGCCAGTCGATTTATCAACATCTTTCTATTGGCGGTTCTGTGCTATTTAATATTTATTTTTCTTTTCGATCGCAACCAAGACATAAGTATAAGCGAAGTGACCCAGATTTCAATCAATGAAGAAGATGAATTATTTATCAATACCACGGGATGTCGAATAAGTTCGACGGCAGCGCTTTCGGAATTTGCAAAGAACTTTATGGATCCTATTGAACCAATTGTTTGCCAAATGGCGCAGCTGATGATAGCCGAGACTGTGGGAGGTAGAAATTATCTAAAGCGAAACATATCAGAGTCTGGACTTTTCTCTTGTTGTCGAGTGAGGCGATGGAAAGATGTCTCCTGCATATATCGGGAGTTTTTGAGGGTTGATGACGCACATAACAGGTACAAATCTTTTATGTTTTTCAAGCTAAGTGAAAGAATAAGATACCTTGAGGTGGGAGCTGGTCAGCAAAATATTCGCACTTGGTGCTGGGTGGACTTTGGTAGGATTATTTTCCATGATGTTCTGTTCTTTCTACCACCTCCGCTCAAAGCTTCAAACTCGTCTGCCCTTAAGGAAAAACTATCCGTGATGATCTTGGGTGTTGATTCCATTTCTCATATGCATTACCTTCGCTACTTTCTCCAAGTGGCCGACTTTATCGAGCACTTACCCTTACCCCACACCGAGTTCTGGGGCTATAATCGTATTGCCTTAAATACCTACCCCAATCTAATGCCCCTGGTAAGTGGTCTTAACGTTCTTGAGATGGAGGAATCTTGTTATAACGGCAGACCAAACTTTGACAACTGCAGTTTTTTGTGGGATGAGTTCAAGAAGGCTGGTTATTTCACCATCTTTAGTGAGGATACTGATACAGCTGGACTATTTATCTACCGTAAAAAGGGTTTCAAAAAGCAGCCCACCGATATCTACATGCGTCCTCAGATGATCGAAATCGAATCTCATTCTTCATATCGCACGACATTGGACCAGAAGTGCTCTGGCCATCGCCTTTATGGCGATTTGTATTATGAATTCGTCTTGAAACTAATTCCACACCTTCGTGTTCCATTTTTCTCATTTTTGTGGAATATGGACGGCATTCACGATTATTTCCCCTATGCCAAGTTTGTGGATAAGGAGTACTTGAATATATTGACAAGGCTCTATGAAGAGGGAGTGATGGAGCACACCCTGATACTCTTTATGGGTGATCATGGCTTGAGGTTTGATAAATTCGCTCGAACTGCTCCAGGACAACATGAAATGTCGCAGCCGTTGTTAATCGCCTTCTATCCGGAATGGATGAAAAAAAAATTCCCCCTAGCCATGTCCAATTTTCAGCGGAACGCCAGGAGACTAATAACAACTTTTGACCTACACGAAACGCTGAAAGATGTGGTAAATCTAGATCAACTAACCGATGCCAGTGTGAAAAACCGAACGCTATATTTGGAAAAGAGTCGTGGGATCAGCTTGTTCTTACCCATTCCTGAGGGCAGAAATTGCCGATCCGTTGAAATACCGCGACATTATTGCCTGTGCAATGAATTAAGTACAATGTCCACCCATAAAAGTATCGTTCAAGAGGCTGCCCGCTTTGCAGTTGACAGGATTAATGAGTTAATCAAGCCTTATCCTCAGTGTCAAAAATTAAAACTGATGGAAATTCGCGCTGCCTATCAAGCAAAAGATGAAACTAGAGGAGATTACAAGTTAAGTCAGATTTTGGTCCGCCTTAGAACAACGCCCGGAAACGGAAACTTTGACGCAACCATTGTTACAACACTCCTAAATGGTGAGAGGAAGTCTCTGAAACTGGGAGGTCCTGTGACCAGGACAGACAAATATGGCCATCAGTCGTACTGCGTTCAAAACTACCGCATTGAAATGTACTGCTACTGTTTATAATAAACTCTAACTTCAATAAATAAGACAAATTTTAAAAGAATTGGGTTTTTATTTTTAAAAAAAAAATTTATAAACATTTATAAAATTATAATTGATATGAAATTTTTTTGTAGAATGTATTCTATTGCTATTCTATTATGAACCCTAATATTTGTTATTTAATTTAAAAAACTGTTTATCAACATTTTTTGATAGAGCTTCTGTGAACGTAAAATTTTTGATCTTGGCTAAGTATTACTTCGTTCTTAATTTCATCAAGACTTAACCTATTTAACCCCTGCGTGTTTTCAGAGTGTAGTAAATTACATTTACTTATGATGCTCTGCATGTTTTCTCTGAAAATTAATTATGCAATGCCACGTGAAAAAAATCAGCGTCTTTTGTTTAAACCGCTAGAGTCACGCACGAGCCGAGATGAAAGTGAATTTTGCGACGTATCGGACTCGTATAAATCAAAAGACTTAGAAAACGAACGCGAAACAGCTGAGGAAATACAGAGAGAGACTCACGGAAAGTACAATGCGACAATTGATGGCGCCGACAAAAGTTGGGCACAAAAAAACCAGTAGCTCATATATGTGCAAATGTATTTTGTTTTTTAGGGGAATCCGTGAAGTCGTGCATGTTTTCCACATATATGTGGAAGCCTCTTCAGCGTGCAGGTGTTGGTTAGTAATTTTTGTTTTTTACCAACATTCCGTACAACGCCAACGCAGAGTGTTTGAGTACATATAAGATATATATATCCAAGTCAGCTGAGGCTTCCTCTCTCTGATTCTCTGATTTTGGTTAACCGGATCTGATTCTGTTTGCCATCTCAGACCTGGAAATTAATGCTGTTCGCTGCTTTTGCCTTTGCTTTGCTGTTGCTAGCCATCCATCCATCCATCACTCACTCTCGAAAATGGTACGAAATATAGTCATGACTTGTAGCTGTAGCTTGGAACCCCTTCAGCTGTCAACGTCATATATGTGGCATGGTTTGCTCACTGAGAAGAGTAAAAATCCAAACAAACCATCTTATTCCTTTCAGAATGTTATTATGGTCGAATTCTAGATTGATGCCGTAACAAAAGCTATATTAAAAGGAAAAAAAAAATGAACAAATAAACTGGTTTAAATGTCTGTTAGGTGTATTCCATCTAAGCACTTTTTAGAATGTTGGGCATGTTTTCTTTTTGGGTTGCGGGCATTGGCTTGTTAATTTGAAAACTGGTTTCTCGTAAACCCTCCATCTCCCCATCGCAATTATACGCAAATAAACCATAATTATAACGTTTAGCGTCAAAACAATTACGCCTTGCAGATTTTTATCACTTAAAGGTGTCTTCTGTTTAACAAATATTTATTTTTACAACTCGTGTTTTTGTGTGAATCATAAAGTCGGCGCAAAAAGGGTGTAGTTATTAATTGAGCTGAACGAAAAAAATGTAGTAAAATGTTATGTTCTTTTGGTTTATTTTAGGACTTGCATTTTGAATTGTAGTTTAATTATTGGAAACCCAATTAAGCCGAGGTTAAATACCTACCGACATTTTTCTATTTGTTGATCACCGATTAAAATTCTTTATAAATGTCCGGGTGTGGCGATTAGTCAAATTCAATTAGAATTTATCCGAGATTGTTTTGTAATTATTTTTTATGATGACAAGTCGAATGCAGATAATTTCCCAAAATTGCTGGGCAACTCATTAGAATCACAAAATTGTAGAAAAATATGCAAATTGGAACCATTCTGTTCGACCAGCCATTTGCGCCATTGGGTGTGAGTCAATTCTCCGTCGCCCCAGCCTCAAGTCAATCAATTTTCCAGTCAATTAAAACCAAACTAAGTCGACCAAAAACATTTTCTAATATCACAATCTAAAATTTATCGGATCAATTTGACTTTGCTAAAAACCGGCTACTGCCCACCGACAAGTTTATGCGTAAATAATTTATCTAATTCGAAGTGAACATTTAAGGCATTCTCTGATCTTAACTAGCTTTTATGCGTCATTTACACGCATAAAACCGAAGGAATTTACGCAAATAAATGCAAATTAATTTGAAATAGAACAGTCATAGCCAACAGCTGGGTTGTATTACCTTTTAATGTATTTATTATTCTTGAAATTCTTTCGAAACATCAAATAGATTATGTAGGTGAAGGTTTTGTAGATGTTGAGATATGAAAACAAGTTAACTGAGTACAAGAAATTAAACCAAAACTAAAATAGAAATTATAATAGAGTTCAATTTAAATTTGTTTTTATCTATAATAAATATTTCGGCCAATAAAATTAATTATTTTAAGGAATTAAAATTAAGACCTTTGAAGAAGGAGTATCATACCAAGTCAGAATCAATGAAAGTACTAAGAGATAACTTAAGTTCCACAGTTGTCATGCAAAAATAGATTAAATTTAATTGCTTTAAAGTAATAAATTGTAATTAGTGTCACATATTATCTGTTTTCCAGAGAAAATGTACAGCCAGACGGAGAAACAGCGCTACGATGGCTGGTACAATAACCTGGCCCATCCCGACTGGGGATCCGTGGGTAAGAGCGCCTATCATAATAAACTGGAATTGCTGTTCAGCTGACAACTTTCGAAAAAAGACTGACTTGAGACGATTACGCCTCTAATTAGAATCAGTTGGATGATTTAGATTAGCATATCGAATGGTTCTTTCGCAATGCCTGCAATTACCATATTCGCCAGCTGTGTGTGAAAGCTAACCTTTGTCTATCATTTTTCAGATAGCCACCTGGTGAGAAAGGCACCGCCCTCCTATTCAGATGGGGTTTACGCGATGGCAGGTGCCAATCGACCCTCGACCCGCAGGCTGAGTCGGCTTTTTATGCGGGGAAAGGATGGATTGGGTTCGAAGTTCAACCGGACGGCACTGCTGGCCTTTTTTGGCCAACTGGTGGCCAATGAGATTGTGATGGCCTCAGAGTCTGGCTGCCCCATTGAGATGCACCGCATCGAGATCGAAAAATGCGACGAGATGTACGATAGGGAGTGCCGTGGCGACAAGTACATACCATTCCATCGAGCGGCCTACGATCGCGACACCGGACAGAGCCCAAATGCACCCAGGGAACAGGTGGGTAACCCACTCATCGGATGGGTTTAACCTCCACTACTGAATCCATACTCCGCAGATAAATCAAATGACTGCTTGGATTGATGGCAGTTTCATTTACAGCACCTCCGAGGCCTGGCTGAATGCCATGCGCTCCTTCCACAATGGCACTCTACTCACCGAAAAGGACGGAAAGCTACCCGTTCGCAACACCATGCGGGTGCCGCTCTTCAACAATCCAGTGCCGAGTGTCATGAAGATGCTCAGTCCGGAGCGACTGTTTCGTAAGTTCCCCATAATTATTAAATAAAAAAACAATTTAATATATGATGTTTAATTTAATAATTTGTATGGCTTACTTAACATTAACTAGCACTATTTCGATCTAAAACCCACTTTTTTATAAAGATAGGTATCCTAGAAAATCATTATTTTTTTTCATTTGTTAGGATTGGTTATTTTTATATCTTTCCAATTCTATTTCAACAAAGTTCTTATTTGTGTTAAATTTGTAATCATTTGTATTGTTTACTTAACATTTATCAACGTAGTCGAATGAAAATATTTCGATCTTAAACATACTCTTCTAAAATGAATTTTATTTATGGTCATTATAGTTTGTTAATATTTTTAATTGTTAAAGATTGTAGGTACTGTATTTCACAATTTTTAACAAAATATGCTTTCTATCTAAATTTTTAAATATTTCTTTTAAGTTTTTTGAGGTACAATAATTAGTATTATAATGGTAAACTGTAGTTTTTATAACTAACTAAAGACTGGAATCAGTCAGAACAATGAAATTAATTTTTAATGATTTTTTTTAACTTTAACTTAATTTATTCCCAGTTCTTGGCGATCCTCGCACCAACCAGAATCCTGCGATCCTGTCCTTCGCCATTCTCTTCCTGCGCTGGCACAACACCCTGGCTCAACGGATCAAGCGTCTGCATCCGGATTGGAGTGATGAGGACATTTACCAGCGGGCCCGACACACGGTGATTGCCAGTCTGCAGAATGTCATAGTCTACGAGTATTTGCCCGCCTTTCTGGGCACCTCATTGCCACCATACGATGGGTACAAACAGGATATACATCCTGGCATAGGTCACATATTCCAGGCGGCTGCCTTTCGATTTGGCCACACGATGATTCCGCCGGGAATTTACAGGCGAGATGGTCAGTGCAACTTTAAGGAAACGCCCATGGGCTATCCAGCTGTCAGACTTTGCTCCACTTGGTGGGACTCGAGCGTGAGTTTTGGTTTTATGGTTAAGAAAATATTTATAAAAGTATATGTTTTGTAGGGCTTTTTCGCTGACACCAGTGTGGAAGAGGTACTGATGGGTTTGGCCTCGCAAATATCCGAACGTGAGGATCCCGTTCTCTGCTCAGATGTGCGGGACAAACTCTTCGGACCCATGGAATTCACCCGTCGTGATCTGGGGGCTCTTAATATAATGCGAGGTCGGGATAATGGTCTGCCGGATTATAATACGGCTAGGGAGTCATATGGTTTGAAGAGGCACAAGACCTGGACGGATATCAATCCTCCGTTGTTCGAAACGCAACCAGAGCTTTTGGAGTAAGTATAAAGAAAGAAACACACAGAGATCAATTTAATATCAATAGTAAACTTATATGGTATAATTTTTACCATGTCTTGGATATCCTCTCTTTAATAAATCTCTCAAATCAAAAAAGAGAGAAAAGAGCGAGATAGCGCCTAGAATTAATTATAAAAGAGAGCAAAAAGTAATATAGTAAAAATATCAAAGAGATACGCCTCGTAAAACTGATTCTGAATTTCATTAAAATTATAAATTTAATCAAAATATATTATGATATAATGATGATATGCTTCCGAGAGTCAATTATTAACCCTCTTTCTTTCTTTTCCAGCATGTTGAAGGAGGCTTACGACAACCAGCTGGATGATGTGGATGTCTATGTGGGCGGCATGTTGGAATCCTATGGTCAACCAGGTGAATTCTTCACAGCCGTGATCAAGGAGCAGTTCATGCGACTACGAGACGCGGATCGTTTCTGGTTTGAGAACGAACGGAATGGGATTTTCACACCCGAAGAGATCAAGGAGCTGCGAAAGATTACTCTGTGGGACATCATAGTGAATAGTACGGATGTGAACGAGGAGGAGATCCAAAAGGATGTGTTTATGTGGCGCACTGGAGATCCCTGTCCGCAGCCCATGCAGCTGAATGCCACCGAACTGGAACCCTGCACCTATTTGGAGGGTTATGATTACTTTTCTGGATCCGAGCTGATGTTCATCTACGTGTGCGTCTTCCTTGGATTTGTGCCCATCCTATGCGCTGGAGCCGGTTACTGTGTGGTCAAGTTGCAGAACAGCAAACGGCGGAGGTTGAAGATCCGCCAGGAGGCTCTGAGGGCGCCACAGCAAAAGGGTTCGGTGGACAAGATGCTGGCCAGGGAGTGGCTCCATGCCAATCACAAGCGACTGGTTACGGTTAAGTTTGGCCCAGAGGCGGCCATCTATACGGTGGACAGGAAGGGTGAAAAGCTGCGCACCTTCAGTCTGAAGCACATCGATGTGGTCAGTGTGGAGGAGTCGGCCACGAATCACATCAAAAAGAAACCCTACATTCTGCTCAGAGTGCCCAGCGATCATGATCTTGTCCTGGAACTGGAATCGTATGGAGCTCGTAGGAAGTTCGTGAAGAAGCTAGAGGATTTCCTGCTGCTGCACAAAAAGGAGATGACCCTGATGGAGGTCAACAGGGACATCATGTTGGCGAGGGCGGAAACGCGGGAGAGACGGCAGAAGCGATTGGAGTACTTCTTCCGAGAGGCCTACGCCCTGACCTTTGGCTTGAGACCAGGTGAGAGACGCCGCAGGTCAGATGCCTCCAGCGATGGCGAGGTGATGACCGTAATGCGGACCAGTCTGTCTAAGGCGGAATTCGCCGCCGCCCTGGGCATGAAACCCAACGATATGTTTGTGCGCAAGATGTTCAACATTGTGGACAAGGATCAGGATGGAAGGATCAGCTTCCAGGAGTTCCTCGAAACTGTTGTGCTCTTCTCCCGCGGCAAAACCGATGACAAGTTAAGAATTATCTTTGATATGTGTGATAATGATCGTAATGGAGTCATCGACAAGGGTGAACTGAGCGAGATGATGCGATCGTTGGTGGAGATTGCAAGGACCACGAGCCTGGGCGATGACCAGGTCACTGAGCTGATCGATGGCATGTTCCAGGATGTGGGATTGGAGCACAAGAACCATCTGACCTACCAGGACTTTAAGCTGATGATGAAGGAGTACAAGGGTGACTTTGTGGCCATTGGGCTGGACTGCAAAGGGGCCAAGCAGAACTTCCTAGACACCTCGACGAACGTGGCCCGAATGACTTCCTTCAACATCGAACCCATGCAGGACAAGCCACGCCACTGGATCTTGGCCAAGTGGGATGCCTACATCACGTTCCTCGAGGAGAACCGTCAGAACATCTTCTATCTGTTCCTCTTCTACGTGGTCACCATTGTCCTGTTCGTGGAGCGCTTCATCCACTACTCTTTCATGGCGGAGCACACGGATCTGCGGCACATCATGGGTGTGGGCATAGCCATTACTAGGGGATCCGCCGCATCGCTCTCCTTCTGCTACTCCCTGCTGCTGCTGACCATGTCCAGGAATCTGATCACCAAGCTGAAGGAGTTCCCCATCCAGCAGTACATTCCCCTGGACTCGCACATCCAGTTCCACAAGATTGCCGCCTGCACGGCGCTTTTCTTCTCGGTTTTGCATACGGTGGGTCACATCGTGAACTTCTACCATGTGTCCACCCAGTCGCACGAGAATCTCCGCTGTCTGACCCGCGAGGTGCACTTCGCCTCGGACTACAAGCCGGACATCACCTTCTGGCTGTTTCAGACGGTCACCGGAACCACTGGCGTCCTCCTCTTCATTATCATGTGCATTATCTTCGTATTTGCCCATCCCACGATCCGCAAGAAGGCCTACAATTTCTTCTGGAACATGCACACCCTGTACATTGGATTGTATCTCCTGAGTTTGATTCACGGATTGGCTCGACTGACAGGACCACCGCGCTTCTGGATGTTCTTCCTGGGACCGGGCATTGTGTACACCCTGGACAAGATCGTCTCGCTGCGCACCAAGTACATGGCTCTGGACGTGATCGATACGGATCTGTTGCCCTCCGATGTGATCAAGATCAAGTTCTATCGACCACCGAATCTAAAGTACCTTTCGGGTCAGTGGGTGAGGTTGTCCTGCACAGCCTTCCGGCCACATGAGATGCACAGCTTTACGTTGACCTCGGCGCCGCATGAGAACTGCTTGAGTTGCCACATCAAGGCCCAGGGTCCATGGACGTGGAAGTTGCGTAACTACTTCGATCCCTGTAACTACAATCCGGAGGATCAGCCCAAGATCCGCATCGAGGGGCCATTTGGGGGCGGCAATCAGGACTGGTACAAGTTCGAGGTGGCCGTGATGGTCGGCGGCGGCATCGGGGTCACCCCGTACGCCTCCATTCTCAACGATCTGGTCTTTGGCACCAGTACCAACCGATACTCGGGCGTGGCCTGCAAGAAGGTGTACTTTCTGTGGATCTGCCCATCGCACAAGCACTTTGAGTGGTTCATCGACGTCCTGCGCGACGTGGAGAAGAAGGATGTCACCAATGTGCTCGAGATACACATATTCATCACGCAGTTCTTCCACAAGTTCGATCTGCGAACAACAATGCTGGTATGTACTAATATCCAAGGGTGTAAAAAAGTAAACAGAAAGAAAAGAAGGTCTTCCTTCTTAAATGCATTCTTTTAGACACCTTTGTAAGGGATTACTTGATTATTATTGTACTAGGTTGCAAAGGTGTCTAAAAGAATCCAAAGAAGTTCCTCTTTCTGCGTTGTATTCTTTTAGACACCTTTATGATCCTAAAAAGTGATTTTTGATTACTTATTTATAAATTATTTCCTGATTTTCAGTACATTTGTGAGAACCACTTCCAGCGGCTGTCGAAAACCTCCATATTCACGGGACTTAAGGCGGTCAATCATTTCGGCCGCCCGGACATGTCCAGCTTCTTGAAATTCGTCCAAAAGAAGCACTCCTATGTGAGTTCTTTATAATGTCACCAAAAACAACTTTCTATATATAATCAATATTCTTCGTAGGTCTCCAAAATAGGCGTCTTCTCCTGCGGTCCTCGTCCGCTGACCAAAAGCGTAATGTCTGCCTGTGATGAAGTTAACAAAACGCGCAAGTTGCCCTATTTCATTCACCACTTCGAGAACTTTGGATAGATCTGCTCGAGGCTCTATCCATTTGTACACCTGCCAGCCTAACCTGTTTTCCACCTACCTGTCTGTCTCTCAACGAAATCTAATTTTACTCATAAGGTTCATTCATTATATTTAAGCGAATTCGGCTGCTCAAACGTACTTAAATCGCTATCCCTTAATCGTAGGCTAATCGTACAATCATAATTTAGTCAAGTTTTGTTTAGTGCATTATGAAAATGTTTTCCATTGTAACAAAATCACTGCAACCATAGCAAGAACAACAAAAAGGCCTCTACCTATATATGTGTATGTATGTATATGTGTATTTATTGAAAATATGATTTGTTATCAGTTTTTGTAAACCGTTCACATTATTTATTAAAAATTTACAATTACCTTTATACATAAAAGATTTATAGTGTTTTGTATGGAAATCGAGGGAGGAGTGTAGTATTTATTAAGAACGTGTTCATGGATAATATTTAAATTTTAAAAAGATTTAAAGTTGTAATGCTCTTGGCGCCCTTAAAGACTTTGACAAACAGTTTAGGTAAGCAGTGCCGCTTTCAACACTATTTTGCTGCGCAGAAGCAAAAAAACAGCTGATTAAGGATGTTTATTATCAAGAAAGTAGCCCGTGATAAATATTTCACATTGAAAGTAAGCCGTCAGCAAGAGCACGTCAGTTGTAAAAATAAAAATGATAGAAGCAATGGAACCTATTAAGCACTTGGCACTGGAAACCTATAACATAACGCTCAATCGGGAGTTGTTTATCAACCAATGGGCTCAAGAACGGTTTGAATTGCTTTTTTCCTGGTTTAGTACTACGAATTAACAATTTATTTTTCAGCTTGGCTTTCGGGGAACCTTTGTGGCTTTTCCTCAGCGATCGTCTGGAGCCCAACAACATCTTTAACTTTTTCATACCGCTGAGCGGCATCTTCAGTCAGGAGATGCTCTTACATCTCCTGTCGGTGCTTACCCTGGCCAGCACACTAAACTCATTCGAAAAGTGGTAAGTAGTCTCCAGAAGTATAGGAACAAGGCAGAAAACGTTTGTTTTTGTTCCACTACAAATATTTTTGGAAGATGTTTCGAGTATCATCTATTAGATAATCGATTGACCTCTTTAGATATTACAAAAATCTTTGTTAAATTCTTCACCTGGTTTAGTTCTTTTACAACATTTAGTCTTTAAAATTTTTAGGATAAAAATGTGTTTATCTGATTCTTAGGATACATTAGATTACATTATTAGATACATTAACTTTTCTGGGGTTCTTATAAAATATTTTTTCTTATTTCCAAAAGGATCTATCCGGAGATACGACCCCTGTGGTTTCTTCGCGAGCAGTTTGCCAATAATAAATTGACCGTTAAGCCGACTGTGGCTCTGCAGAGTTACCAACTTAGCTGCGAGACGAGTGGCGGACTGCCATGTGCCCACTCGATGATCTTCACCGTGTTCGTCCTCATCCTGGCCGCGCACATCTTCATCTACCTCTGGGATCGCTTCGTAGCCTGGCATTCGCCCTGGTACCGCTGCGTCATGTATCCAGCGATTATCGGCTTGGTGGTTTCCATGTGGCTCAGTCGTCTCTACCTGGCCACCGAGTTCCTTCACCAGTGCATTCTGGGTAGTTACTTCGGGTTCAGGGCTGTCAACGCCTTCGAGGTAAACATCAAGTACTTATTCTCCCGACCACGTGCCTATGCAGTTCCCGCTGTTTGCTTTTTGGGAGCTTTTGCAGGGTCGGTTTACTTTATAAAGCTGCATTTTGATATGGATCCCCATTGGTCCGTGCGTCAGGTAATACATTACAATAACATATGTCAAACCTTTATAACTTATATTTCTCTGTTGTTTTTTCTAGGCCTTCAAATGGTGCCCAGAGCCCACATATATGCGCCACGAAGCTAGTCCCATTTTTGCACTTGTCCGAGACCTGGGAAATCTTATGGGTCTAGCGCTTGCATCGCCCCTATTTGACCTGTAAGTTTTATTATATATTATTAAGATCTTGTAAGGCACATACTTTTTAAACTGTTTTTTAGGGAAGCCAAAGAATCAACATTTTGGCGACGTTGCCGAGTCCTGGGAACTTTAGAGTTTGTCAATTATGGATTGCGCGTAGCCACGGTAAAGCAGTATGGCCGCTTGGCTTTCTTGAGCTATGAATTCTCAAGAAATGTCTTTCATTCTCTGGCACTAGTGAAGTACGTCCCAAATTTCTACTAGAGTAAACAAAATTTTGCAATTTTGTACTGATAAAAACATAAGATAAGGCAGCTTAATAAATGAGATCATTGGTCCATAAATTGGAGTTACGATTTTACAATAACATAAAAAAATGGAAGTTTTATTATTATTATTTTCCATTTAACTAAAAAAACTAAAAGAAAAAGTTATATTAAGCATGTTTGTGTATATTTATATATTTTAAAAGGCCTAAATATTTCATTTGGATAACACATTTAGAAACTCCATTAGTTTTTATAGAAAGGACTTCACACACGGGACTTTTTCGTTTCTGTAACTAGAAAAAAAAATGATTTAAAAATTTGATCTGGTGAAATAATTCCAAAGAGATGAAGTAATAAAGATATTGGAAATCAATAATGATTGTTCAGACATAGTTCAGTTCTTACCCTCCTGTTCTCGATTCGCCATCACAAGGTTTGTGTTCTTTTGGGATCGCCGCCTGTCCGACCTAAAGAGGCAATCCACCCGGTCAGCCTCGAAAAAGGCGTATACCACCCGGACATTGTTGGTGAAACCGCCGCCATCCCTCCAGGCACTTAAGATCACGATGGGATCACCGTCCTCGATGATGCCCCACTTTTTGGCGGAGGTCAGGGCAAACTGCACCCGGGCATCCACATCGGTGGCATAGTCCGTGCTGGGTTCCGAGGTATATAAAACGGGCAGAACCCCGCGATGCATATAGACCCATCGGGCGGTCCTCTCGCACCGGGTGACCGCCAGGATAGGACAACGTGGGCGGAACTTGCTGACCAAGGTGGCGGAGCGACCCGAGGTGGTCAGGACAATGATGAGGGTGGAATTCGTTCTCTTGGCCGTCTCCACGGTGGCAACGGCCAAGGAGTGTGCTGCATCCAGCTCGCCACGCACCTCGCTGACCAAATCAGAGAATAGATCCCGGAACCACAGGACCTTCTCAGCCTCGCGGCACAAAATATCGCAGGTGGCCACCGCCTCCTTGGGATACGGACCGATGGCCACCTCGGAGGACAGCATGATGCAGTCTGCTCCATCGATAATGGCATTGGCCAGATCGAAGCACTCGGCGCGCGTGGGATGCTGATGGGTGCGCATCGATTCCAGGATGTGCGAGGCCACTATAACCGGCTTGCCCGCCTTGTTGCACTGCCCCAGGATGCTCTTCTGGGTGATGAAGAGCTTCTCGATGGGTATCTGAGTGCCCAGATCCGCTCGGGATAGCAGCAGACCATCCGCCGCCTTCATTATTTCCGTGAAGCGACTCAGCGCTATCTTGCTGTCCATCTTGGCGATGATCTTGATGTGCTTGCCCTTCTCGCCCAGCACCGTTCGCAGCTCCTTGACATTCTTGGCACTGCGCACAGCCGAGGCGAACAAGAAGTCCACATTGGACTTCATGCTGAACTGGATGTCGAACATGTCCTTCTCGGACACGGCTGGCAGATCAATCTCGATCTCCGGCAGGATCACATTGCAATTGTTGTTCAACTGGCCACCCTGGATGACCTCGCACAGAAGCCCATCCACTCCGACCTCCATGATGTGGAGTAGCAGCTTGCCATCATCGATGAAAAGGCGATCACCGGTTTTGGTCAGGTTGATGATATTGGGATAGTCCACGTAGACCGCCTCCTTGTTGCCCTTGTCGTACAGATCCCGGTTGATCGAGAGCCGCAGATTGTCGCCGGCACGCAGGAAGACATCCCCATCCAGAAGACCCGTTCTGATCTGCGGTCCACGCGTGTCCGCCGCAATGGCCACCGTTCGGATCTGACCCGTCTCCTTCTGAATCCTCTCCAGCGCCTCGTTGATCAGCTCGATCGTTTTCGAGTGCATCTCGTGCGATTCGTGGGAGAAATTGAGGCGAAATATATTCACCCCACGCATTATCATGCTATAGATGGTGTCCACATTGCGAGAACTTAGGGATATGGTCGCGATCAGGGACACCAGGCGCTGGTGGGAGGCCTGCTGCGAAAGTTCTAGCTCACAGATGTGGTCCAGTTGGGTGGAGCCCTCCTTGAGCACCGATTTCGCGGAGTACGACATTATTGTATTAAAAATAAAGTAAAAGGAACTTAAAATTTAGTACAGCTACCTTAAAAATTTAATATTCTCTGTAGTGATCTGTGACGTTTTACGAAAAGTTTTTGTAAATAGCAAAGCTATTATATGTCTTTAGTTTGGATAAATTATTAATTTGGGTTATAATTGAAATATTCGTTAAAAAGGTCTATGGATATCACTAGGAATTAGTATTCCAAGGCAAAGATAACGTCTACAAAAATTGCACCAATCAAGGGTTAATTGCAGCGCCTCTAAAACTGTAAATAGTTGACACCCCAAAAGTATACCCCAAATAATTAAAGCGATATACCACAGAAAAGAAAAAATCAAGATACTTCAAAAAAATAACAACATGCAATTCAATTTATTAATTTATTAAATAGAAAAGGCAGAATTAAGGTATAATACTTAATTGTCTACCCTTTGAATGTCGTGCAAAATGGTTTTCTTTGTTTTTAAATTCATCAAGTACGGAAAAACCAGAAATTATCTTACAGATTTTTTAACAAATATTGTTTTTTAATATTTGTATTGATATTTTTCCTTACCAGTGTATAAGCTTTAAATTGTTCGAAATTTCTTCCGTTGCTTCCTTTACCTTTAGTCATAACTCCAAATAATAAATAATTGCTCTTTAAAAATCCATGATTTATTTGTATTTCAATAATGTTTTATTTTTCGATTTTCTTTATGCTTTTCTCCGCTAATAACTCAATATACGCTACTTAAACAATGAACATAATTACATTACATATTACAAGACAGCACTTAGTAACGCTATTAAATTAATTGAAGCTATTTGCTAACTACCTACATACTTCGAGTGCTTAAGTACATTGACTTTAGCTTTAAACTACAACTAGTGGCAGCACATGCACTACAGATAATTACGATTAAGTTATAACGCTAATGTAAATGCTTGGCAAATGAGTTTAAATTAGTTGAAGAGAAATGTAGTTGAATGTTAACTGAAATGGAGCGAGTCTACGTCTAATTTGTCCGATATGTGATTGTAACTTGGCTGATTGATGAACTGATGGCTAAGTAGGGTCTATATATTTCCGACTATCTGCAGCCACACGACTCCACCACCATATTGGGCAGCGTCTTCACGGTGGCCATGTTACTCGAGTCCATCACGACCAGCTGCAGCGAGGAATACTGTTTGGCGGTGCAGCAGGGCACCAACTCCAGCGACTTGTTTGCACCGCTTGTGGAGAGAATTTTCTGTAAGAAAAAATAGAAGAGGTACATTAGAAGTATGTTTAAATTGTATCATGACGATCCCGGAATTTCAAAAAAAATAAGTTATCATAATCATGATCAAAATTAAATTATTTCAATATGATATAATGTAATCTTATATCAACTTTAAGTATTAGAAAATAAGTTAAAAGTCCATAAATCCATTGGTAGAACAATAAAAAAAAAAAAAAAAATTTTTTTTAATGGATCCCAAGTTAGGATCCCAAGTTTCGGACCAGAATACTTTTCTTTAAAAACATTTAAGTTGGTATAATTTCTAAGGCTTAGTTTAGAAAGCAAAGTAATTGAAAAAAGTAAATCAGTTATAATCCTATTTTGGTACAAAAGTTTAAAAATAAATAACAATTTTCCATAGAACACCTACCATAATGGAGCTGTGGTGAGATGCCGCTTGTGTAACACTCGCCACCGAGCTGCAGGATCCGCGGCAGAAGTAGGCATTATAGCCCTCTGGTTTCAGGATCCAGTTACTCCAGCCGATGTCCCTGAAGGATATGTACAAGTGTTCGCGACAGCACTCCGTCATTCCGCTGGAGCAGTTGATGCTACGCTTTTGGCGGCTTTTCCTCCGCCGGTTCTGCATGTCGATCATGATGAACGGCCGGTAGTCCTTGTCCACGGAGATAATCTCCTCCATGTCGCTGACCTCGCAGCCCCCGCAGGTGATTTGAATGAGGTGGCTCAGCTCGTGACCGCTGATCCAGTGCTTGATGGGCCATTCAATGTCGATCTTCATCCACTCATCTGGAAAAAATAATTACTGATTAGTTGTGGATTCGAAAAAATTAGGTTAATAAAATAAGAAAAGAACGGCTGGTTTGATTTCTTTATTTACAGCATCATAATATTTTTCAGCAACATTTCCTTATCAGTCTAGTGACCCCGGGAACTCCCAATTTCTGTGGGTTGGGGCAATCGCTTCTCGGCCAAAGTTCAAATTTTGCACCCACGAAAAAAATATTTTGCCAAGTTATTCACCCACACGAATTTGAGATCACGAATCTGAGCAATGATCTGTCTAATTGAAAACACAAACAAGCGGTTGTCAACGTTCCGACTTATCGGCGTTCTTTATAATTGTTATAATACCCATCTAGTATAGACATGTCACTGATTTTGATTTCTTTCCCGAGGGTATTGGGGGTCACTTTTGGCCGTTCCGCTGCCGACCAAAGTTCCAAACGTGTGCGATTCTTTTCTTTTTCTGGTGATGATTACGTTCTGTGTGATGAGTATATACTAACCTTGCACATTCACCGACTGGATGGCTATGGTCTTGGTGGCCGTCAAATACTTGGAGTCCTTCTGTTGATCCACCTCCACCTCGGATACGACAATTGTCTGCTGGGAATTGGTGCTGTTCAGTGAATCTTTGTCCTCGGTGCGGTTCTGTTTGTTCTTGAAGAGCCACAGGACGGCGGTGTTGACATCAAAGCCCTCGGCATCGGCATCGTCGATCTTAAAGCTGAAGCACATGGACGGGTTGGATTTTCCACCTCCCAAGCGATTGCACTCGACCTCCTCTGTTGGGAATTAAGGATAAGATAAGATTTTGTTAGCTTAAATCTTGAAATTCTACAAAAACCTTAACATTACATTTAACAGAAAATTTAAAACGATCGATTGAAAGCGGATTTCTCAATGTCATGTTAACTTTCATCTTTACGTTATTGAAAGTCTTAACTGGAGGTCATCTTATAGTTAATTTTGTCGGTCGACCGAATAAATTTGATTTTCCGAACAATTAAACATCAGATTAACTTTCTCTGGCAGATAACCAACTAGATACTTAACCGGACATTAAGAAAGCAATGGTTTATCTAAACTTTAGAAGGGACTACTAATGCGAAATTCCGGAGGATTGCTTACCTCTATTAAGCAGAATGAACTTCTTGCTAGTCCGTGCATAATAGTCGTCTAGCTCCTTGTTCTTGTTGCTGTCATCCGGATGGGAGAGTGTCATACCATCAAAGATGGGTTTGGGCAACTCCACGGCGGATACCTTGGGACTCTCCTTGAGACGCAGCTTCTCCAGGATCTGCTGCTTGACAAACTCGATGCGCAAATGGGTAAGCTGCTCCTCGGTGATGTGCTCCACCTGGCGGCTACTCTCGCACTTGGGACATCCTCCTCCTCCTCCGCTCGACTTCACCGAAATGGTGATGTTTCTCTCACCAGGCTGAGCCTCGGGTAGCTCTACTGGTGTCTCTGGTTCCAGATCCATATCAAGGTCCTCCACCTGATTTTTACGATCCTCCGCCATCAGTTCATTGCGCACAAAGTCCAGGGGCGAAAGACCATCGAATGGATCCTCGGAGGGAAGGGATGATTCTTCGGAGGGCAGGGAAGATTCCTCGGGAGCATCACCGAACATGATGGGGTGCTCCTTCTCCTCCTGCTCCATGAGATGCTGCCACAAGCGGGGAACCTTCAGCTGCTCCGCATGGGAGCCGGGATGATTGTAACTCAGCTCTTGCCGCAGCAGGTGCTCCCTCTTCTGGATGACGTGTCGCCGGAGGCGGGCGTAGTACTCCCGCTTGGTGATCGGTGCATCGTCCTCCTCGCTGGTTGGATCCGGTTCCAGGTGCTTCAGCTGGCGGGATCTCTGCTGGCGGATGTGGTGTTGCTGCTGCAGCTGCTGTGAGGTGTGCTGCACATGAGGATGCGACTGGTGCTTGGGATGGGGCCTCAGAATGTCGCCTCTGGAACTCGGATGGGATCGGGCGTGCAGGCGATTGTACACATTCTTGTTCTCTAGGGCCAGGCACACTAACAGCACCAAAGTTATAAAGAATTTAGCCATTTCTACGCTTTATTTCCTTTTAATATTGTGGTATATATTCAATATATTGTTGATCTCCTTTGGGTTTCTCTCTAGTTTTATCGGCTGGTGCTGATTGCTATCTATTTGGCAGCATTAACACATCAATTGTTTTGGCTTTTAAATTTACAAAACTCATAGAATTGCAGCGGTTTTCACTTTTTGTTGCCGTTTTAGAGCCTTGTCTAAGCACTTTTCAAAAACGAATTTTCGACTTTGTTATTTATTGCCAACGACTTATACGCTTGGATGATGCATGATCAACTTTTTGAGGTTTTCGTTAGTCTTGTCTGCAAGTAAAAAATAAAATCATTATTTACTAGAAAAAAAAACCATCATCCATTGATTTAAACTAGTTAGTATTATATTTTTTTATCTAACAAATATTTCCGAAAATGGAAACCAAAGCTCAAAGTAATATTTCCACTCATAAATATTTTATTGAAGCTATTCAACGATTCAGCTCTTTAATCGTGTTGCCCCAATTAAAATGCAATTTAATATGCCAGCGCAACAGGTGCACTTATCACTCACAAAGCCAGAAGTCTCACTTAATTTTTCACCGAATTGCATCATTTATTTTTTAATTTTTTTGACATTAATTCCGGGAAGATTTAGTTTTTTGTCGAGTATTAGATTCACATTATCACTAAAGGCCGGGCCAAAGGCTAATGGCTTATCTCTGGCTAGGATTTGAATCGGCAGATTGCCTGATGAGCAGGTGCAATTAGATGGCAATTAGGTGGACCCCACACGTACCGTCCGCACACTCCGTTTTCTATTCTATTGGAATTTTCGATGACTTGGCACTCGATCCACTTTGAACCCGGACACGAAACGCGGGATGCTCTTGGGCTGCTGGGGCTTTATAGCTCTGAATCGCGTATATATATAGTATATAGTATATGGGCTTCCTTTTCTTCCGACATGCGACTACGCAAACGAGTTGTGAATGAATGAAGCGGTTGGCTGATTAGTAG